AGCCGAAGCCTTGCCATCGAACAGAGCGAAGCAAAAGCTCAAAGGCTGAGATGCAAGGGAGGTTCAGAAATTCTGAATTTATTTTCCCTCGCAGTGCCATCGACAAAGAGATACGCTCGGGCAAGATAAGACTTTTTATTTTCACACGTACGCAGGTGTGATAGAAAAAAAGTACTAAGCCTGAAGCACTTCCAGTTGCAATAAACCTTTCTTACTTTCATCGTGAGTAATTTCAATCTTCACGACAGATGTCGTTGATGGTGACTGGCTAAATTCCATCATGTTTCTCATTTAAGTATAGCGTCCATGAATAGTTTTCAATGTGCTGGAAAATGCGCGGTTGAAAAGGGAAAAAAAAATGAAAAGAAAGCTATGATGAATTTTCATCATATTGACGTATATGATGAAATTTTGTTCAGGTTTCTGTTTCACTTTTAAAATGGTTAGAATTAGCGACAGCCACTCATTTGCTCTCTGTCATTTGCGAAGTGGATATGGCAACCAAATCAAGGCAATAAAAAAACTCGGGATTTTCTACAATGAAGTCTAAATTCCTTATTACAGTAGCCCATTAAAATAATTCCAATTCATCGCCAGATCGAGTTCAACCCGAACGCAACACCGAAACTCGACCTGGATATTGATCCCTGACTCCTTCGGCATTTTCAGAGAGAAGTCCTTCGAACACTGCCGTTGCCCTGCCACCGTTGGACCCGAAGAGGCTGTACGACACGACCCGTTGGCCTGCCCCCCTCGACGTCGCCCTGAAGCTGCAGGTCGATAGGTCGCCACCATCGACGAGTCGCCCCGCGTCGCAGTCACAAGGGAGGTCGGGAGATCCCCTGCCGGTCGCACTTCGACCTCTAAAGAGTGGAAGTTCCTTGCTCGGAAGACGAGAGTAGAACGCAATCAGGAAGAGTAAGAGGCACAAGAAAGCACTCTTCTTCGACATGCCGACGGATCGATCTTGGGAGAAGGAAATACTCAAAAACGGATTTTCTTCATCAGAGCCACATCTAGGCCATCAACCACAGACGGCGTCATCGAACCAAATGAATCAAAACGGACAAAGACGCATCGAAACCTGATCGGTCCCCCCGTTTATCGAACCTGGATAAGAACTTCCCATCGGCGGATCAAAATGTAACAGAAAATGGAGTTGTTTCTCTTCTGTTTTCTTTTCCCAATGGTTGAGCCTGATAAGACAGGATATCCGTGTTATTGTGGAATGGAATTTAATTAAAATGATCAACGCGAAACGTAACGAAAGCCAAAAAATTCCCTAATTTCCAGTCTGTTCTGATTTTTTAAAGTGGCCTGGATTCATTTACATCCTTTCCCAACAATTTAAAAAGTTTACAATGAGAAATAAATTACAAACAAATTTGGAGCTTTAGTCGATGGCTTCCGATGTTGCATCATGCCGTTCAGTTGTACCGCCGCCGGTGGGGTCGCCCTTCGTTTCTCGTCTTTCCGCCACACGGTGTCGTAGGCCCCTGTCGGATCGACAAAGGCCGATTTTATATATTCTTCAATCCAAAAAATTTGTAAATCCAAAAAAAGCCCGTCTATCAACGTCTCTCAACGCCATTATCATTAATACTGAACCAGTAACAGCATGATTAGTACTAAATCGCGTCAGATCGCGGGCGATCAAAATATTCCAAATCTGAGTCGCTTCCATTCGCGATTTGCAACTTCCCATTAAAAAAGCAGATGCATTTGATGGAACTTTGATGGAACTCGACTTGCGAAAAATGGCATGCTTTTTGCCAATTGACGATCGACTCCTTGCAGTTCAGGAAATTCAGCGCAGCATTAATGAAAAAATATTTCATGACATGGGGAATCTCGAAGACCAAGGATATCTTACGGTTTCGATGAGTCCACGTGAATCGGACAGGGAATTTGAAGTGGTAAATATGAGAAAAAAAGGAAATATGGAGATATATCTCTTTCTTTTTTATTGCGATTTAATATATCGTGAATAAATTGTAAATCCACTTGCATTTTAAAATGCAATGCGCCATTGCATTCGCAAATGCAGGTGATCAAATGTTTTTCAATATGACCCTTCTTAATTCCATTACTCATTCACAGGGATAGAAGATGTTTGTGTAAAGTTTTATTGCTCTTGACATCCATTCCGGGGAAGACGAGCGAGACATGGAAGGAAGGACAAGCGGGGTGGAGATCAGCAGAATTCCCAGTCCTGGTGATCCGGCGGCCTGCACTTCGCCGGGCACGTGTCGATCTTTTTCATGCTCTCGACGAACCGCGGCCCGTACGAGACAAAGAAACGTCCGTCGCGGCGCGTCGGGAAAGGTCGATATTTCGGACCCCGAAACTTCGGGTTCGTGCAGAAGTAGCTATCATGTACCAGCTGTAGAACAGAAGCACAACCACATTGTAGATTCAACGAAAAACCGAGAAGGGGGAGAAGTACAGAGCACTTCATTTCCTAGTAGCATTTATCGAAACTCTTAATTCTCCCCAATCCGCTTAATACTAGCTTGTAACGAAAGCTGTTGTGCATGGAAACAACGCAACAGTCCGGGAAGCACGATTTTTTCGTCACACATTCTATAGGAAAGCGCGTTTCATGCCGCGTATAAATAAATAGATGTTGCTTTTTTTTTTTACAAATCGCTAAATATACAGTACATATTTTAAATTACAGCGTTCAGAATGTGTAACAAAGAAAACGTGTAGCGGAATTGCGGAATACACCGCTGCCTGCATCATTTGTATTAATCTGTATTATTTGTATCTGTCTGCAATATTAATATTTGTACCATTTGAGCAGCAGATCCTTCTGGATTTTCAGGATATCGCCGCCTGCCCCAAGTAGTAGCGCAAGGCTTGAATTCCGCGGTAAATGGGACATGAAAAGAAAAGCGCAAAACCGTTTCGATATCGTTCGCGACCTGGAGACCCGCCGACGCTGGTTCCGGCGACCTGCCAGGCTTGATGAGATGAAACTTTGTACAGGAATGGAAACACTGCTTGAAAGGTTGATACTGGTTTCCAAAATGTCTTCTTGATGATGATGATGATCATCGGAAGATGTCGGCTTGAGGAAAAATGAATTCACGAAAGGCCTCCCTTAGTCGAGAAAGTGGGTATCACTGTATAGAATGACAATAAATTTATTGACCGATCTCGCTTAATTTTTTTTTTTTCAAGAGAGAATTATCTGATTAGTGTTCATTTTCATCTTCGTGGTACTCGCGGCCATAAAAAATCCAGGGGATCTCAAACGTCCGTGTCGAAATACCGGTCGCCGGTTCAAGTCCATCGCCGGTGCCTCCTCGCGGGTGGACCATCCCTCGAAATGGAGAGAATTTTTCCAAGGAAGCCGTTCTTCAGAGATTGTATCGTTTTCCGTATCGTAGTCGCATATTTGGTACATAGCCAAATATTAAAAGAATAAAATCGATGGGAGACGAAAGCTTGCAGTAATGAAAAATAATTGTGATTTGCAAATCGTGACATTGCTGTTTGCTGCATGTTCCCTGTCTGCCTCCATCCGTATGAGCTGGTGTTGGTCGTTGATGTTTCTGAGCCTCCTCTTGCGGAAGATCGCTTCGTTGGGGGAGGAGAGAAGAACCATGGAGTAGAGAGTGAAGCTAGAGGCGACACTCGGAGGGAGATGGGAGGGCCGAAATATTGCAGAGACATCTGGTGGTTTGTTAGCAGCATACACTTCCTTGTGGCGTGCTTCGTGGCAGCGAAATCAGGAATCGACGCGTTCGGGGATTCGACCTGAAGGGATGCATCGCTTGTCTCGTCGAGTCCGCTGCTCTGCCATGGAAGAGTTGTCGATGGTGGAGGATCGACAGCGACATCTATATCGCGACCCTGTCAGTGAATGGGAGCGGAGTGTCGCCTCCAGTTCTACTCTCTACGGTAGAACGGGAAAGCGAGAACGTGGCTCCTGTGAGAGGGGACTTCAGTGCAGTATGTGAGAACTGCAGTTTTAATGGAGGTTTCCATGGAAGGACTGCTGCCGCACGCTTCTCCACCAGACTGTCCCATAAAAGATCGGTTTTAAATTTCGGAATTGAAGCAGTTAATAGATCGTTCCCCATGACAAGCAACCACTCGCTTTGTTTGACCGTATCCAGCCATCTTGCAGCTTGTGAGAAAAAGAACTCCTAAATCCAAGAACATCGCCTAAATCCGAATTTCCCTTAATAATTTTCGGCCGATCAAAATAGGGTCGTCACTTTATAATGGCCCTGGGCATTTTTTGAGATTCAAATGCAAGGTGAGTCGACCAAAGGCAGGCATGAAATTCCCTGTCTTTCTTACCTTGTGATTCTTAAGCTAGAACTCATATGAATTTATTCATTTATTCTAAAACAATTTTATTTTTTAACTCATTGAGGGCTGGATAACATTTTTTAATTTTCATTAAGGGTTTACTTCCCCGCAAATTTGATCCCTTCTGTGTACTATAAGAATTACCATTTCTAAATACGGAATTAGATAATTACTAATTACGGAAGGTGTATAGTTTTGGGCTCGTTCAACGCCTTCGTCGTGCACAAGAAACCGGACGCAGGCATCGAGAATGCATGTTGCTGATGTCACACTGCCTCAGTAAAATCCATTCTTGACCCTTCAGTACCGTGGGATTTAAATCCATTTGCCCTTAAATGGATTTAAATCCTCACTGTGAATTCAACGTCTAGAAAGCATATCTTTACATGAACGACCATAAATTATGTTTTGTAATTGAAATTTGGATTCGATATTTGAGTTTGTAGTTCGCACCTTTCATATGACACCGTCAGATTCCAAATGATTAAAATAAAATTACCAACAGGAAAGGTACGGCAGGTTACCGCTGCACATATGACGGGTTTAAAGCTGGTTAAAGGCTCTCAAACGACCTTGCCTTTTTTGCATTTGGCATTTTGCCCTTGCTGATTCAATCGTGCAAATCGATCATCAGATCATCCATCTGATGATGTTTTTAAATAAATAACACTTCTTCCCATTCATTATTTGTGAAACTTTTTATTGTCCTTTACCTCCCTAGGCATCGCAGTGACATCGCAAAGTGTTGGCAAAAAAAATTCCCATTGTAAAAAAAAAATCGAGGAAACATCGAAAGGATGGCAAGCGGGGTGGAGATCAGCAGAGTTCCCAGTCCTGGTGATCCGGCGGCCTGCACTTCGCCGGGCACTTGCGGTTGTTCCTCTTGGTATTGGCGAACCGCGGCCCGTACGAGACGAAGAGGCGTCCCTCGATGCGCGTCGGGAACGGTCGATAAGTCGGACCCCGAAAGTTCGGATTCGTGCAGTAGTAGCTGTCGTGCGCCATCTGGAGAATGGAACGGCCGGAATTGGGAAGGAAGGGGAATTTAGGCATGCTTTTGGTATGCATATTTGGCCCAATTTTTTTCAAAACCCATCTACTCGCATTTGCATGCAAGATGGAAGATGTGATTTTTTATTGTTACTAATATTTTTTTGCTACCCATAAACAATTAAAATGGCCTGGAATACGCCACAGGGAAAATTGCCGTTGAAGACGCTCTTCGATGTGCATTGAATTTCATGCACGCATTACTCAAGCCCCGAATTTAAGTGCTTAATTTAACTTAAGTACCATTCGTGTCGTCGCTATCTTGCTACAACACTTAAAAAACGGGTTTAGGACATGCCGGGAAAAACTGGACTAAAATCAAGTCTGCTTCTTCAATAAACGTTTTTGTTCTATCTCATTTTTGGTACTTGCGCTTCCCACGCATGGTAAGCTTTCATTTCTAAATTTTTTTTACAACTAATGTCTCTGAATTCAATTTCACGGTAAGTGCAAAATATATTGTCCCCATTAAAATTAAAATTTGAAAATGGTCTCGCTCGAATGTCTCTTTTGAAGTCCTTCTCACAAACTGCCACTCAATCACCAATAATCAAACATAAATCATTCTCCATCGGAAACGCATCGATCGCACGCAACCCCACCCCTAACCAATTGAATGTGCATCCTTTCGATGCATTTCGTGCACCTCACCATTCTGTCCTTGGTCGCAGGCCACAGAACCCGTCGGAGGACTTCCTGGTCGAACGTCTTCCGGTGCTTCGACTCGGTGTGGAACAGCATCCGCCGCGTCAGGTTCGCCATCAGCTCACGGTCCATGTGAGGCTTCGCGCCCCAAAGGCCTGGGGCGTTTCGCGAATGGAATTTCATGCATGACAATAGGTTTCGAACAGTTCATGTAATTTTTTATGTTATGTAATTTGTGATATGTAATTTTCAAGTTGTGTAATTTGTGACAAGTAATGTTATGTCATGAAATTTGTGATATGCAATTTTTATAAGTAATTTTTTATATATAATATGTATGTCAGTTGATGTATCATCAACTGATGAAAATGTGCGAAATACGCCATGAGCGAATATGGGGGGACAATAGTATTTAAGAAATTGCTAATTTTTTTTTTTCTCGCGAGAGAGTGAACTTCATGAATGACATCTCAAACGAATAAGGAAGATGTCGGATGGCAAGAATAAATCTCGTACTTTACCTTCAATTACATTTCATTAAATTTAATTTTTAAAAATTTCTCAACATCTCCCAATAATTAGTAGATTATTGCAGGTGAAAAACCTAGAATATATTGAGCAGTTCTTTAGTACATGAGAAAGGAGAGTCGCTACCGAATCCAACTTCTTTTTTGCCCTTATTCCCCCTTTCCCCCTCTCTGGCCATTGTTTTGGCCATTTTCCCCCTTTCCCCCTTTTTTGGTCATTTTTGCTCCATCTTCCCCCTTTTTGCCCGACCTGCAAGAATGTAGGCGTAGTGGCCGGGATGGTCCCTCATGATATGAAACATGAAATCCGAGTCCAGCCACTCCTGGACTGCCGCGCGCTCCCGGTCGAGGATGAGAGAGTCGGAATCTCTGCAAATAAAAAAAAAAAACATGGAAAAAATAAAAGTAAATCCATGAGGAAAGGTCCTACCTTCTGCAAGTACCAAAATAATAGTTTCAGCTAATTTTTTTAAATGTTGTATCCGCCCTCAAAGTTGCACGTTCTTGTGCTTTACATCATCTTCACTTCTGAACTCAAAGACTTTTGATTTAAAATTCATCAGCAGTTTAGATTTTAGATCTTAGATTTCATGCCTCAAAACCAGTAATAAACCAGTAATTCATACAACTACCATGATTCCATCGAACTCCGCCCTCAATCTCTCATCCGCTGAAGCCGCTGATGTTTGCCAACCGGACCTACACCCTTGCATCGCTGATTTCTTGCGGTTTTCCTTCACTTTCAACCGAAAGTTCCTTTGAGCCTTTCTACCATCATTTCTTTCACTCCAACAAAATGCAATTCTCATGAATGCAAAAGTAAAGCTTGTAATTCTATCTTAATCCTTCTCCGATGGCGAACGCTTTCAGTTTCTGCCCTGCAGTGCACCTTCGCTTCCTAAATATCATTAACTAATTTCATGCATGCAAGGCAAACGAAGGATCTCCATTAATCGTTTAATTCAGCTGCTCCCGCACCTCCGCCTCCCCTGGGAAACCTCCATCTCCCTGGTGGATTTGGAACAAGGTGGATGTCCTCCAGGCGTTGCAGGAGGTCGACCTGGCCTCAAATCCATCGCTGGGGGAAGGACCGACTAGAGTTGCCGAGATTGGCAGACCGAATACGCAGCAGAGTAGAAACGTAAATTTACAAGGAGAGGTACAAACGTGAGACATACACATTCGGGTCCGCATGCGTACCTCCAACCTCCTGAGGTTGGGAACCCTGCACAAACATGCGTTTCTGCAGGGTTCCCAATACAATGCTCAAAATAGGCGTAGGATGTCGATTTGTGTTCTCCCAGGACATTCCAACTCGAGTCAGCACGCAAAGGATCTTGAGAGTGGAGTTTTCTTCCTGTCCCTGTATTCTTCACATCGTGATACTTGTAGTATTTGTTGAATGTATAATTATCATGTTTCAATGGTAATCCATGATTCTGGAAAATGTTTAATGCTGGAGTTTTGCACGAGGACGGCGGAGTGCAAACTGACAGGTTAGAAGTTTTTACGCTCTGACAAATTGAGCGGTCAACTTCCAATTAACTTGAAAGATTGTCCTTTATATATGTGTGGACTTGCTATCTACATCCCTCCAAATGGAGAAGGCGCTGTTTATGAGACAGCCGGCACGTCCTGTTGCGTCGAAGAGACCTTGCCGAACTGTCGCGGTCTTATCTCTGACAGTACGTGACTGTCGTAAACGTGGTGACGGATGATGGCGTCACTATAGCTCACTTCAAAGCTCCCCAAAGCTGAACATTGAGATTAACAAGCAGGTTTTTCCAACGCCCTTAAGCCCGAAATGAGATTGAATGAGACACATGAGATTCTAAAGAAAAGCCGTATCTTCTTAATAGAAGATACATGTGTGTCTTATTTTACTTCGGTACCTTTTCAACGAAGGTACTTTACGACATACGTTTGTACCTCGTAACGTACAAAATATGTACCTCACTGTACGTTTCTGATTTTGCTGTGTAATCTGGAGCATTATGAATAAAATTAAGACTCTGAAATATACAAACTTTCCGCCTCGTAAGTTTCCCTCCGGAACAAGCAGGAAAAAAACATCAATGCCTTGGAAGCGTGATTTCCAAAGTAAAGGTACTAGCATCAAGATTTCTGCATTTTCCCAGCGTGCGCCTTTCGTACCTGGAGAGGAATACGTCAACGAGGGGATCCATCCCCGGCAGGAACCTCCACATTCGCCCTTGGTTCTGCAGCCCCGTGATGTTCCCCAGCCCGGGCAGCCTGTCCACGAGGCAGAAGTCCACGTGCGAGTGGTTGCACTGCATCCCGCACATCCACTCGCGCTGCTCGGGGATCTCGGGTTTGTAGTTTGTGTAGACTCGCATCGTCCAGCCTGAAGTGGAACGAAAATATCGTTTAATTTATTGGGAAACACGAATATTGAACTGTCCTTGTGCACTTTCACATAGTTCTTAAAGGAAAGAAAATGAGACAAACGAACGAGTAATTGCACGACTATGTATAAGGATTCCTTTACGTACTACACTGTTTTATTGAGTACCATAGCATATACAGGGTGTCTCGAAAGTTTCTGACCGCATGAAATAAAAAAGGAAACGAGATTAACCGGAATAATTTGAATTGCAAGCATTTCCTCGCAGCCAAGAACGCCCCAAGTGCCTCGGATCAGCGTCCCGAAGCTCACAATGCATGAGACTTCTCGCGTTTGTTTCGCAGAATGCTTTGCTGGAACCTGATGAGCTCCAGAATGTTTTCTTACTGTAGCTGGCCTGGTGTTTACCGACGTTTTGGGTGCGGGGGTCAGAAACTTTCGGAACACATTGTATATACATATTTAACCATGAGTTAGTTAATAATTTAGTGGTATAAGCGGGAAAACACAATAAAATCTCTATCCTCACAAGGCGAGAGTTGAATGGGCAACAATTGCGTGACCCTGACTAAAAGTGCTCTCATCTAAAATCAGGAATAACATGGGTAATTAACGGTGCCACTCCCAGTTGAAGCCACCCCAGAGCATATAATATAAAATAGAAACGGGCCAATGCAATGACACCATTGGCTGCTTGAAGAGGTGGATTATATATCTTTCATAGGCTTGGGGGGGGGGGGGGGGGTCCATAATTCCACCACCCCCCCCCCCCCCCCCCCCCCAACCCCAATGGGGGGGGGGGGGGGGGGGGTGGTTCCATAATTCCACCAACCCCCCCCCCCACCACCTACAACCACATGCTGTCCTATCGTCTTTCCCATTTTTCGTCTGGGGTAAAAACCCGATATCCATTTGACACGCCCCAACACAAATTAGTTAATGTGATTTAAACGATTAAAAGTAAGAATGCAAAACTGGCCATACGGTGGGCAATCGCCCCCCTCGGCCCCCCCCCCTCGGATCCGCCACTGGCTGCTTGTCGTGCAAACTCCAGATAGGTTATTTGGCGAGGTTAGGATTTACCTAACTAATATTGAAAGTAAAAAATACTGCAGTGTTGAGATGACCAATCAGCGGCTTATCAAGCCCACAAATCCAATCCGGAAAGAGATGAAACCATTGAACCAAACGAAGGAGGTCAGGCGTCAGAAGAAATTTGGCGCAACGGAAGCACGAAGATAACGGGGAGGAATTCCTCCCGTTTGGATTGCTTCCGTCGCAATCGGAATAGCGAAGCGCTCCGGTTGAAGTCTGATATTGCCATCGTGGCGAAAGGTGTTACGTCTGCGTCACCATATCCAGGTAGAGAGTTCCAGGTGGAGCTCTCCACCAGGTGGAGAGTTCCAGGTGGAGCTCTCCACCAGGTGGAGAGAGATATGAAGCTCCCACGAGGAGACAAAAGGGAAGTGACAGAATTGTGTGGAATCGTCTCTTGGCCGACATTAAGGGAAAATATCCCGCCCGCCCTCCAACAAAATGTGCCATGTAGCTTTCCAGCGGCTTATCAAGTCGGTGAAACCATTCTGGGACGAGATGATGCTTCTGAACCAAAAGGAAGGCCGGGAGCGGCCCGGCGCAACGGAAGCACGAAGACCTACGGGAGGATCGGAAATGCCCCAACACTGATGTCTCCGTCACCATCGAATTTGCCTCGTAGCGAAAGGTCGCCTCAGCGTCACTATACACGTTGAAAGCGATAAGAATTTTATTTGAACTGATAAAATGGAAGCGACAACAACAAAATTGCATGGCTTCCTCTATTCCCTTGTCGTTTTTTTTTTTTTTTTACCGTTCTCCCCTTGTGTACACACCATGACTTTTCACACACTTCTCACACACACACCTCACACACTTTTCCTGCCATGAGGACTGGCTCAACATTCTTGGCCGACAATAGCCGAAAATTCCTCGCCCCCCCCCCAAACAAAAAATTATTTTTAGATTGTACTCAAAACTAGGTTTTTCCTCCGAACTCAGCAACTCAAGGGCTGCTGATGGACCAAGTTTCCGGCTTATGAGAATCTCTTCCGCCAATTCTCAGGGTTTCGATTCCTCCACCTTCTCGTTTCATCGCTTGCAACACATTCGCATCGATTGCAAAAATGCGATCCCGACTCGGCACGGGCCAATCGAGAACAGAAGATTTTCCGGCACGCCTGCCACCTTTCAAAAAAAAAAAAAAAAAAAAAACGGCCGGCGATTCCGTCAGTCCGAAGGGGGAAAGCCGAGGGCGAGCGACGGAACGCAGGGAAAACGCGTTTCGTCCGATTCGTCCAGCAGGAATTCGCTTCGCAAGCGGTGCAATCGCATGCATCGGTGATTTTCCCCGTTTCCGCTGGGTTCGTGCGAAACCTGCGATTCAAACCTTCTTTGGCAAATACTCTTCGCCCCTCCTCTCATTACATTGATGAATATATTATTAGAAATCAATAAAGTCACATCTGGCAGCTGTGTCCATTCATTTCAATATGCGTGTAGCGTTTGCGGCAACTAAAACTAAAACTAAACTAAACTAAAGGAAAAAAAAAAACCCTCAATTTTCGCTGAATTCCTGGCAAACTCACTAAGTTAGTTTCAACTCAGAATCAAGCCCGAGATCGAGTTCAACCCGACACGAAGAATCAGAACATTACAGCGAATTTCGAGCGTGAGAGACTTTGAAGGAAACGAAGCTTTCACGACCTGGATATTTCGCAATGATGCTTTCAGCATTTTCGGCGAAAAGTCCTTCGAACGCGTCCGTCGCCCTGCCGCTGTCCGACCCGAAGAGGCTGTACGACACGACCCGTTGGCCTGGCCCCCTCGAGGTCGCTCTGGGGCTGCAGGTCGATGGCGCCGCGCGGTCGCCGTCGGGGGGTTCAGCCGAGTCGCAAGTCGCAGATGAATCCCGTCGCACTTTCACGTTTGATGAATGGCAATGTCTTGTTTGGAAGGCGAGAAGAGATCAGCAGAAGGGAGAGTAGTAATAAGAGGCAGAGAAGCGCAATGATCTTTGCCATGCCGACGGATCGGCCTCGGGAGAAGACAATAACGGAGGACAGAGATCATCAGCGGGTTCTCGAGCAAGCAAATCCACTCCGGAACGGGACGATGCTAATGAACCAAAAACGAAGCAATGCAGGAAGTCCGCGCCAAGAGAAATATGGCGCACCGGAAGCACGTCGATGGAGGCCGGAACGGAAAGCCTCCCACTTGGACGCTCCCCGTCACGGCACTGCGACCATCGGCATATCGAAGTGCTTGGGCCACAGAAGTCGCTCGATTTTCGCCACGTAGCGGCAGATGTTACTTCAGCATTACGATCCATGTGAAAAGAGATAAGAACTTCAACGAGCAGCGAAAAAGTTTACGGGAAATAAAAATGTGGACTCCCATTTCCCCCTTTTTGCCGTTCTTCCCTGTGCAAAAACCAACAACTTCTCCCACTTTTCCTGCCGTGCTCATCGCAGCTGTTCTCTGAGGACCGGCTCGACAATCTTATCGGAAAATGGTTTTAAAAATCCCCCTCCCCTCCTCTTGTTAAAAAAAAATCTCGCCTCGAAGGATGATTTCTTATCAGCGGCTTATCAAGCCGCTGATGAGAAATCTCTTCTGGAAGAGAAAATGATTCTTAACCAAGTGAAACAAGGAAGGAGTTGTCCGCCAAGAGCAGCATGGCGCAACGGAAGCACGAAGACGTACGGAAAGTTTTGGAAGTCCATTGATGCTTCCCTCGCTGTGGGGCACGGCAACAGGAAAGTGCTTCGGCGAGAGAAGACGTTTGATTTTGTCGCGTGGCGAAAGGAGTTTCTTCATCCACGAGGATAAAATAGGAAATTTATTAAGAGAAGTTGAAAAGGAAAGGAGAAGCACCAAAATTGTATCCCCCTTTCTCTCTTTGCTGTTTTGTTTGGGCAGTCAGTGGAATGACTTCTCGCACTTTTTCCGTCACGCTCGATATCGATTTAAATATATTAAATGGGATTGAAACTCAGCAAACGACCTGGATATCGAGCTTTGATGTTTTCAGCATTTTCGGCGAAAAGTCCTTCGAACCTCCCCGTCGCCCTGCCATTATTCCGGGCCGACCCGAAGAGGCTGTACGACACGACCCGTTGGCCTGGCCCCCTCGAGGTCGCCCTGGCACTGCAGGTCGACGGCACCGCGCCGTCGACGGGTCGCCCCGAGTCGCAGTCACAAGGCAGGTCGAGCGCCGCAGATCCACTGCGAATCACATCGTACAGTCGGCGCGGGATCGGCTTGATGGACGGCAGCGGAGAGAGCAGCAGGAGGCAGAGGAAGAGGGAGAGGCAGAGCACGAACCACCTCTTCGGCATGTCGACGGATCCATCGTGGAAGAGGAAACATCAGAGCAGAGATATCTTATCAGCGGTTTATTGCGCCGGCGAATCCGTTCCGGCCCGAGATAATGCTTCTGAACCAAACGAAGCAAATAAGAAATTAGGCGCCATAAGAGAAATCTGACGCAACGGAAGCACGAAGTCAAGGAGGAGGTTTTTAGAAAACCCTCCCACACTGATGCTTCCGCCAACGCGCCATCGGCATGGCGAAGAGCTCGGGCGAGATCTTCCCACCGCGGGGAAAGGTATTCCTATCTCGCAGGAGGTTCCTATCTCCTTCCGCCAGAATGGTGATAGGAACTTCCTGCGAGCTGGTGAAAAGGAAAGGGAGAAGTGAAAAAAATGGATGGCATTTTTTTACCCTTTTATCTGCCTTTAAATTTACTTCATTTACACTTCTGCCCTTTTCTCCCTTGTGTGCCGTACGCGAGAGGACTGGCTCACCCTTAGTGGCTGGAAATGACCTAAAATGATCGAATTTTTCTAATTGTTCTAATTTTTTCAAATAAAAGTTTCATTTTTACGATCGGTTGCACGGAATCGACAGCAGAGCGATGCAGCTGGCAGGTCCAACATTTGCCTGATGCCCGGAATGCTTTCGTTCATCAATCATGCCAGTGACCTAATTTACTTTTTGAAGAAGTAATTAGGACGGTTCCGAAAAAAAAAAACCAACTCATTTATCGTGCGCCCAAAGAGTTTCCCAAAGTCGAGATTCGCAGAGTGATTTTTTTTTTCCAGCCGTTTCCTGCATGAAATTTTTCCAAAATTTCATGCAAAATTTCCAAATTTTTTTTTTACGAAACAGAATGTGAAATTTTCCTTGCAAAAACTTTTTTTTCTGGCCGGCAATTTTTTCATCTGATCGCTTTTGGATTTCTCCATTTTCACGCGTGAGTCCGCAAACGAGTCGATGAGGAAGTCCTTGGCTTCGCTGCATCGAGGACTTCCGCTTGGACGCGAGGAATGCGACCGGCTCCGATCCGGTCGCCTCGGCCTCCTCTTTCATGAATTCGCCTTTCATGAATTGAAGCATCCATTCGCCGCGGGAGCGACCTCCCGCGTGGAACTCGCTCGCCGTCCCCGAGCCTCCGCGTCTCCGAGCAAATTCATGAAAAATTTTTCATTTTTCCCATTCATGATGATATTGCAATATCGATATTCTTCCCACCCGCAATATGCCCGTATATCGCGATAATTTTTCGTCTTCACACAGGCCCTTCTTGATCACTCATACCTGAGGTTGGAAGCTTTCATCGCGGTCAGTCACACTCTGCCTACACGGGACAGACCCCGAAGGGAAAAGTGGGAATTGTCTCATTCCAGACCGATTCTCCTCATGTCCTCTGACTTAAAGAAATGCGACGTGGATCAGCATATCTCGATTATCCTCTGGCTCCCTCTAACACACTTGGTGTCCTCTGCCTTTTTCATTTTTATTATTATTATTATTATTATTTAATTTTTTTATTATTAGAAAATGTGAATTCCATCGTGTTTCAGATTCCAGCTCATGGGATTTACGAAAGCGGTCCCTTTCAAGACCCATATCGCACTGACGTAATCCGACCACACAGTTGAATCAACTCTCGCATAAATCCTTGTCTACAGGCATTACGTAATTATTTTTATTTTTCTTTAGGAGAACATAAACAACGAAAGCAGAAGAAATGAGAATTTCTTATGGCTAGTCCTCAGAATCGTCTGAGATAAATCCACTCGTGCTTGGGGAAACACATTTCAGATATGAAAAGTCCGAAGCAATTTCACGTGTACCAAGTGGCAATTTGTGTTGGAATAGTGGTAAGCCATGGGATAACAATCGGCAGGATGAATTGTCCAAAACTGTCTGGGATACTCTCAACGTCAGCGCATGCTGTGTCCTTTAATATTCAGAGTTGACATTGAACCACGTCCTCAGTGAATCGATGCAGATTTCGTTTCGGACCTGGCCCTTGCAACAGTGCTGGCATTTTTTAAAACAGCCAGCTGTCACTTTCAAGGGCCAAGAGATCATATCTCCGAGACCGGCTGCCAGATCAGATCTCCTACCAAGAACTGCATGAAATTCCCATGACCAAGCATCTCCCTCTTCCTTGCCATGAATCTATGACATTTAAAATTCCATGGGCTTCAACACCACATGCCTCTGTATTAGAACATTCACGTTACAAGCTTGAGTGGCATGCAATTCCAAAAATACATCGATTTCATGAAATGAAGTGTTTTATTCCCTCTCATGACGGAGCAAGTAGACCATTTCAAGGCTCGTGGGACGCAACTGCTTCGATGCGATGAGGAACATCGCTGTCATCACACATCCAGGCCATATGCCTCCCTGAAGCCAACATGATGGAAAAATAAAGAAGATCTAGGGGCTAGAGAGTTTCTGCTCTCGGTTACAAAGGTGAAACAAATGCAGTCACTGGTGACTAGAGGTAAAGCAGGGAAAATGCAGAAAAATAAGTTGTAGATGCAAATATTTGTAGAATCCCACGGATTCTGACAAAAGCTAGAGAAGCATTTGAGTTCATGGTTTAAAAGTTAAATTGGTGATGATGTAACTTCGTAAAATTGAACATATCCAACATATGTTTTGGCATGAATTGGTGACATTAGACCATTAGTACAATTAACTTAGTAAAACTGAACTCCTCATACACTTTTTAGGGGTCTAAGGATTCCTCATTATATTGGAATGGCCAGTATCACTTGAAAGAAGACAACTGCTAATTCTAATTTAAAAAAGAAGACATTTGCACAGAAATCCCTTATTGCAGGCTTATAACGCTTGTGGCACAGCTAGCAATACTGAAAAAAGGGCAATCTCAAAGTATCTCTTTTAGAATGTTCCCCCAATGTTCAACATGGATCACAGAACAACATGACAACAGTAGCTACACACAGAAAACGAAAACAACTTTTTAGGCTGTTCCAAAAGGGAAAGAATAGAAACATGCACGCGTTAGTTGGGTAGAAGCTAGTGGTCACCCGACGTGAAGCTCCCGCTGTTGCCGAAGCTGAATCCTTCGAGGCGATGCACAACGTCACTCACACTGTCTGCAGCTGGTGCAGAATCGTCCTGCGAATCCATTCTCGAACAGGATGAAATCTCACCCAACAACAGAAGATTGCACTTAGAATCGTTGTTATGTACCATCCGATCATTCATGAGCGAATCGAGCATGTCCGAAGTCACAGAGAGGTCGGAGTCTGGAAACGTCCCGGTGGAATCGCAGGACATGCGACATTCGGGCTTCAGCAAGCTCGGCTTCAGCAGCTCGGCTTCGTCGGGCAGGGGATCCAGACACGGAAGGACGGGCCAGTAGGGACGCAGGGCCCTGATGACACATTGCAGAGTCTCCATAGCCTCCTCCTTCGGCTCGAACGAGGACGGCAGTGGTGGTGGCGGGCGACCGAGCAGGGTCTGAACGCATAAAGACATGGATTCTGATATACTGCTCAAGTTATAGCCTCCCTCCAGAGCGAGGATGATCCTTCCACTAGCCAGGGGCATCAGCAGGTGGGTCATGTGAGCATAGCACTCAAATGACACATTGTAACCTAAATCAAAAAGAACACATGAAATTAGGCATCTATGCAAAACTAATATTTTTAAGGACCCTTTTATTCTTCAACAAATATCCCATGCAATACATTCTGATTTTATTTGACCTTTTCAAGAGGACTGACTCTACATTTAGGCAGATTTCTACCTCACAGAATAAATATGAACCACATGTTTCCACCTAAGCATAAAAAAAGCAGGTAAAAAATAAAAACCTGAGGTAGCTCATAAAGAATAATTCAATTCTGTGACCACTTATCTTCATATGAATCTCAGCTTTTTTTCTATTTAAAGAACATGCATGTTGGATGCTTAAGAGAATTTTCCATTAAAAGGAGACATATGACAGCCAACTCACCACCGAGGGGGTCTCCCTGAGCAGCGTCGAACCCAGCCGACACGAGGACGAGTTCGGGATCGAACGAGTAGGCGATGGGGAGGATTACCTGGAAGAACCCCTGCAGGTACTCTGCATCCCCCATTCGCATACGCCTTCTCCCCTACAAAATATAACAGATGATTTCATTCTCATTGTATCACATAGAATAGGTTTATATTGAATATTTTGGCAAGAAAATAGTATTTTCATAGGTTTCCTGCTCTTTACCTCCCTGCACGTTTCCTTCCTACCTTCTCAGGTCAATGAAACATCTACAAATCCCAAGTACACCAAGCCACACAATTTTCTCCAGTCAAGGAAAGAAATTTTAACTTTTACAATTCAATATGACCTGTCCCTGAAGGCCTCACACCATTTCAAGGGTCTAAATATTTGAAACCCAAACTCTCTGCTTGCAACACCAAGGAGGCATAATATTTGCAACTTCTTCCTAAAAACCTCAGATATCACTCTATTTACATCAGTCCAGCATACCACTCTATTTTAGTACCACCAGCAAAAGTTACAGTATGCTGCCTATATATAGGAAAAGTGAGAACAAGGAAGCCTGTCATGAATCAGCCATAAAGAAACTCAGCTACTGCATTCCTTGGAATCTACAGCAAATCGTGAACAACATGTGGTGCAACTTTTTGCATGCAAGATTTATTTATTAACTACATATAAAATGTAAATAACATGGAAAGACTTACAAGCACTCTTGAATCAAGGTGCATGCCGTCAACCAATACCCATATAATTAAAAGGACATAGGAACAAGAATAAACAATCCAACAAGGATCCATGACCATTATCCACTCTTTCCTTCATGCCTCAAGGCCTGTTCCCACAAGTAGGGTAGTTCATGCATGACTTTGAAATAGCCTAGATGAAATTTTCCAGCGAGCAAGCTAAACGTCCTTGAAAGAATGCTTAGAGTGGCCACAGTAAAAATCAAGAATGTGCGAATGGTCAGAACCAGGACACAGAGAAAGGCCAACAGCACTCTTTCTTATAAGGTGCCTAGCGATGAACCAAGAGAGGCAATGACATGCACAATGCCACGTTATGCTCAAGGAGCATCATTGGCTCTTCTGAGCAGCCTGCAATCAAGTATTTCAACCGATCATGCACCGAGTGAACCGATAACCGACCCATGCAGGCCCATAAGACGTTTTCGGTGTGTAAAAAAAATGCGCATCTTGCAAATTCACCTGGAGTGCTGCAGAAGAGAAGAAGATCCTCCCAAAACCTGAGACCCCCATATACAGTACAATATAGAACAGAAGCAGAGGGATGATTTACAACAATTAAAATTATCAATGTGCTTTTTGAATGCTTTTTAAGGCAACAGTGACGGAAACCAAAAATATATCTACAGCTTCCAGAAGTTGGATTCAGCAACCATAAAAGCGTTCTACTCCCTTCTGTGTCACATATAGAAAATTAAAACCAAATACAGTTGCTAAGAAATTCAGCAGAGGTCAAGCTTAATGTAACAAATAGCCACATGGGATAGTAGCTTAATATTTGTGACACATTCTTTAATAATCAGTTATACTTGCATGAAGTGTGGTAAATATAATACTAAGCACCCACTGTCAGCAATCGTGTGCAAAATCCCATCATGTTTCAACCTGAACAGAATCGTAGGAAAGGCTCGAGGAGGGACAAGAGAGTACAAACTTGAAGATTCCAGGGAATGTTGACGTTGAATCCCTTGCCGGACTCGAGGCCGACGCAGGAGTAATGGGCGTCGGTGGAGCAGGGGAAGAACCCTCCGTTATCGTAACGGTGCAGGCTCACATAGAGAACCCTCGGGTCACTCTCGAACATGTGTTGGGTCCCGTTCCCGTGGTGGACGTCCCAGTCCAATATCAGAACCCTTTCGCATGAAAAAAAGGGGAAATCCATCAAATGATGGATTAGATATTGCAAAAAAAAACTACTTTAAATATAGTAGCTTCTGTTACAACAGGTGCTATTATTCAGGCATACTCCTCTACTTTTCTCTTCCTCTTTGCATAGTGCACATGAGCATACATGCTAAAAACTGAAGCTATTATTGCCTTTTGCACAACAAATGTTTCAGCATGAACAGAATAGTATCACTGATCACCATGACCTTTGGACAAAGCTAACATCATGGAGGTCCTCACCTCTTGAGTCCATGCATATTAACGGCATAGGAGGCAGCCAGTGCAACGTTGTTGTAGAAGCAGAAGCCGCACGGCGAGTCGGCTTCGGCGTGATGCCCCGGAGGACGGATCACTGCCGCTCCGCTCCTCGTCTCCCCGTTCAAAACGCTATCTACAACCTACAAAAACATTTGGAATCAAAACTATGTGGTAAAGAGAGAAAGGAAATTCCAATTATGTGTCCCAGTCGAGGGATTCCATGATGCAATAATTGGGTTTCCAAGAAACCCAGTTATTTCTATTCCCTGCAACTCCCTTCAACTCATATTGAATGCATTGAAAACTGCAGCAATTCTGAATTAATCATAAGCTTGGGAAAGATGCTCATTCTGCTCCTGCCAACTGAAGAAACCTCCAAGATTCGAAAGCTTCCTCCGGTCGTATGCGGATCGTCCCACCTGAAGGAGCGATCCGACCGCATGAAGGGCGGACTCGTTCGTCTGAGGGCAGAAGTAGATGGAGTTGTAGGAGGAGGACATGTTGTCCAGATCGTCCTTGGTTTGGTCGCTGAGCGAGGCCATCAGGTCCAGCAGGGACCTCTCATGCAACAGGGCAACTTCCTCCTGCTTCCCCTTCCGACTCTGCAAATATTTTTTGCTAGTACTCCTGAAGATGCATTCCCTAGTGTTCACATGAACAGCAGTACTTCTCAAATGGCTTTGACCAGGATTATGTCAAAACTTTACTTCCTCAACTGAATCTCTGCACATGGTTGTAGATAATTAGTCAAAAGATATATAATTGTTACCCATAGCAATTTAGTAAAAAACCAGCTTTCTTTTAATCCCTGACTTCCTGGTTTTTCTCAAGGTCAAGCTAAAACCTAGACCAAACTAATATAAGAACATGGTTTTCAAAGCTCCCCCCCATTTAGTGGTAACAGAAGCAAACTCACTTTGAGATGGCGGCACTTGTCGACCAGTCCGTCTTCCTTCAGCTTGTCATAAATTCTCTGAATACGGTTTGGATTCTCTGGGTGATTCCTGCACATTTTCCACAAGAGATTTTGCACAAATATATGACCATAAATCATGCAAATTCTGGGAACGAGAAGAGGAATCTACCCCGAGACAGGTTGATGGAGCTTCATGACTTTATCAAACACCAGGGCCACTCTCTCCGGGGCGAAAGTCAGGCGAGTTCCTGGAGAGGGAGCAAAGAGACTTAGTGAACCTCATCACCTCACTTCAGCTGCTTCCACTCGTAACCATTGTTACCCTGCGATCGCACGATAGCCCAACACCTGCACGTGGCCTTCTTTGTGATGGCAGTGGAAGGTATTAGAATGGCAATCAAAATTGGCAAGTATCAGCAGCCCACAAGAGTTCACTTGAATATATATAAATCAAACCCAATAAACACATTCCTCTCGTGTCAGAGTGCTCATAAACTAGGAAGCCTACACAAAATCAGAAGAGTGCATTCACTCATAACTTATCCAAGTAATCAAAAACACCTCATGACCTGCATGCTGGATGCTATAGTCCATATCATGAATCAGTGCATGTGGTAGACTGTCAAAGGGTAATGTGGCTCATATGATGAGTGTCAATGCCAATGGTGGCAAATGAGACCAATAAAGTTGACGAACAGGAATTTTTGAGGAAATAAACTTGGAAAAAGAAACTTCCCCAACTCAACTTCTTCCCTTTTACAACCTTTCCACCCCTCCATAAAATATGGAGTTTCTCATTCCATTCAGTTGACAAGTGCTAATCCCTTTAATGGTAGTCCTCAGGGGCAGTAGGCAATGCCACTGCACAAGGGTTCAGGATGCAGACTATACCTCAGAATCTGAGAGGGCTGAAGTTCTGAGAAAATGTAGCATGTCATGGGAAAGTATAACAAGTCCATACAAGATTTTGCTTAATGTAACTGGCTGAGATATGACATTCCATAATAACAATTGAAGAGTCCAAGGAAAAGCATTTCTACGAAAGAGGTTTGCCAATCTCACCAACACATCACAAAGGTGCAGATACACTGCCTTACTGCACAAAGCACGCAACATCATGCCTTTCTCAGGCACAAAGCAATAACCAGATTTAATTTGCCACCAATCAATAATGGAAAAGTCCTGATGAACCTCTGCCTTTCATCAAAAACTTTATATAAGACCAAACAGCAACAATGCATGTGCATGGCATAAAAAGAGATCACCAATGAACAAGAACTGACCAAGGATGAGCATCTGTATTCTGTCCTCCATAGTGGCCTTGAGAATCTCCTCCTGCACCGGGTAGCAGTCGCGAGTGTCGGTGGGTGGGACGACCCCGGCCCCATAGAACACGACGCGCGGAACGTGCAGGGACGACACGGACGAATCCCCTCCTCCTTCGTCCCCGTCCTTGGCGAGCGGATGGTGCGACAGAGCCTTCCAGAACGGACGCAGGACGAACTTCAAGTCCAGGATCGTGCTCTCCATTCTGTCGATAGAATACTGCCAGCAATACTCTCTCCACCAATTTTCTTCCCACTTTGAATTGCCATTTGACTTTTTCAAAAATGTCCATATATGGTGTCTATCAACATGAATTTTTCAGAGAGTGCACTCCACAGCATATGTAAAGCCTTGCCTTCTTCAAAAGCACTGTGAACCTAACTCTGAAGAAACAATCATTTTGTAAAAACTGAGTGGAAGATTCCCACTTTTGGAACGCCTAGGACAAGTATGTATTAAGCAAATATTCCTCCCTCCAGATGCAAAGGGCACACAGTGACTTCATGTACACTGCCCCCCATTACTTGAAAGGACTTACCATAATAGCTTAGCACATTCTCAGAAAGACCTTTCTAAAAGTGTAATTCAGGCAGCTTTTCATCACCAACATTTTTTTCAAAATTTGTGAGCAAACAATAACCATCAAGATTTCTTCACCCCAATGAACTCTTCCCATCGACATTAAATACGTACGAGTAAAATGAATCTAAAGTGAAGTAAAATGACAAAATTACCTCAAGAGCAACTGCGATCTTCCCCTCTGCCAGGGCCATGAGCGGAGTCAGCAAGTGCGCATAGAAGGCCGGGGTCACCTCCATCTCCCCCTGTTCGGAGTCATTGCATCAGTGACTACTGAGAAACTACAAAATGTTCTGCAACAGTTGGCATGTGTAAATTTTCCAGCATGACAGAAGAACCTAAGTCACCCACCTAAAGCAACTTCTGAGAACCATACCCCATGCCAACAACAGAGTGAAACATTCTGAATGATGTGAAGTGACTCTCATGAAACTTCTAGTGCCCTACCAGTTTCAAGTTGCTGCTTCACACATCCCTCACAAAACGCTACGACATACCGAAATCCCTATGCCTTTTGATTCTACCTCAAATTTCTACATCTCTACAAGCCCACAGAATCACAGAAGAGTCCCACCCACTTTGGGGTCCCCCAGGGTCGAGTCGTATCCGGCCGACACGAGCACCGTCTCGGGTCGATACTACAGCAAACGGAAGGAAAGAAAAGAGCAAGATGAAGAAGGGGGATAATTCACCTCTGGGCATCCCAGGGCTGCATCATAGCCTGCCGATACTAGCACTAACTGCGGCTTGTACTGTGCAGCAAAAAAAAAAAAGACAACCGTGAGAAATTTTCATGGAAGAGAACAAAAAATCATGTAAGAAGTAGGAAGAAGCAAACCACAAACAGATAATAAGGTAAATAAACTATTCATATCTAGAACTAATTTAAGCAAAACCAAAAGTGGGTAAATAACTAATCATACTACAACCTCTACATCATAAATAAACCCAAAACATTGATAAAATACTTCAAATTAAGGATAAAATAATCTGACCAGAGCAATTAAGAATGGGTTGTAGTGACAAATGGGAGAAATTATGGAAGTGCATCAATTTTCTGAAGATAAAGTTCCCATTGCATTGGAATCTTCAAGTTAAACAGGATTTCAACTGAGACATTTCCATTAAATTCTCACCTTTCCTAGTAAAAGTAAAGAATGACAACTCATGAAAACATGATCCCTATCTTATCCCATACCATGCCTAAAATCAGATTCAAATGAAACCAAGTTCTCAATTCCCATCCTTTGAGGATGCAATGGCACTGAATAAATCATTCTCGATATTTTACTTGCGAATAGCAACATCCCTCATTTCAGCGTTCCACGATTCCCCCCACTTTGGCACAGGCTCACCTCATGGGCAATGGGGAGGAGGAGGTTAAACCAGATTGCAGCGAAATCAGAGTTGGTCATCCCAGTCGCATTCAAAGGCACGTTGACGTTGAAGCCCCTTCCGGGACCCGAGCCCACGAAGTCGAAATTAGACTCCCTCAGGTTTGGCCAAAAACTCCCATTCTCATAGCGGTGGATGGAGAAGTATAACACGCTGCAAATCACAACCAATAACTACAAATAGGAGATGCTGCATGTCGGCAGACGACCATAGAGACCGAAAAGGGGCAAAGAAGGCTGTCATGAAGAGACCAGCTGAAGAGGTGAACAGGAAAGTGACTGGGGCAATGATGACATCACATTTCTCCCTATCTCCCTATAAACCAACAGACACCAGAGAGGTGCTCCTAATCACATCTAAACATTCACCCTTTAGTATTTTTAAACTACCTTATAGATCTCAGCATACCTCCACGATACAAGTAAAAAGCCACCCAACCAGCAACCTGCCAAGAAATATTACACTTATCAGAATGTAGTTCCCAAATTTGCTTCACATAGTAGCAGGTGTGGAAGCACCAATATTCAACCTCTGAACACAGCTAAAATATTTCTGAGACAGGTCAATCCCCAGCATCACAGAAACGAGATCCAAGCGGAAAGCAAATGGGCATTACAAACCACGCACACACCCCGCCCCACAGACTACGGACCTTCCCCGTCTTCTACTTTTCCCTTTGCTTCGTTGCCCAGAGGAACCACACTATCGCCATCCGTAACACTAGAGTCCCACTTGGTCGCTTCCCTCCTGCAGGAGAGAGCAGACTGGGCAAGAGCAATAGAATAGACAACTGAAGAAATGGGATCCATCCCTGCATTGATCAGGAGCAAAGGAAAAATCACAAAAAAATTCAGGGGTGGAATAAAAACATTCTAGGCTGGTGGCTACAGGTATTACAATTTCTCCATTTCTCCCTATATACAGAAAACACTACTTAAATGTGCCAGGGTTGCTAAATGGAACCAATTCACCCAAGCCATTCACCCATTCACCCAATAAAAAAAGTCCATAGTCTATGAGGGCATGGGGGGGGGGGAAGAAAACGAAATTCAAGGCACATATGAAGCAATTGATATTAGAGGGTTCATTACCTATGGTCTATAGATGGAACAATCCCAGTCTCGAGCCTTATGTGCATATAGTGAGAGTGCAGCTGATTGAAAGACTCATGCCAAAACTGAAGAGCCAATATTTGGATAGGGTTTCAGGTTTCACATTAATATTCAATTCAGTCTCACTTTTGCATGCTCATTTTCTGCATTAAAGCTGATCTAAGAATCAGAAAAAGAGCTTTCCCAGCTACAAATAGCATAGGGTTAAGATTGGTAAAATACAAAATTACTTTCTCCACAAAACAACAGAAACAATGAAACAATTTTCCATTCAGGAGGGCATGCACTGCTTTCCCCAACAGAATTTCTCTCTTTCAGTGATGGCAGCATAACACCAAGAGCAGAACGAGGGAATGCCGTAACCTGTTGGACTCGTAAAAGCGCTGCTGCGTCGCCTGTCCGTGATGGACGTCCCAGTCGATGACGAGGATCCGCTCCAGCCCGTGCTCGGAGAGGAGTTTCTGAGCCGCCACGGCAACGTTGTTGAACATGCAGTACCCGTTATACTCTTCCTTCATTGCATGGTGACCAGGCGGTCTATTTCCCAAGAAGAAAACAAAAATTGCTTAAGTCATGGGCACACCAGAATTCAAATTTTTTCAGATTCTTTCCATACTTTCATACCACAGAATAGTCAAGGAGAGTCACATTGGTAGTCAACAGATGTAATATTTTCTATAATGTAATTTGGCCATGAAGCCATTGTCAGATAGAAAAATGGGGACTTCCAAACTACAAAGCCAAGTCATGGAGATTCAAATCCAGGAGCACTACAGGCTACATTTTAACACAAAGGGAATGAATGTACTCAGTGCTAACACGGGTCCAATTTGGTGCATGTGAGTATCCAAATGCATGCATTCAGACACATATTGGAGAGGAATATGAAAAATGAAACAGAACCAAACTGTTTTCTAACAAGGAAAACTTCACATCATACTGAAGAGCCTGCATGTATCCATGGCATCAACCTCACACCAAGCAAGAGACATTCACAGGTACAACCAACAGGGTTCTGCCATTTCCCTTCCAACAACCTCAGCTAAAATTGCTATCCTTTATCCCAATGCATTTGCCATAACCTTAGGGTACAACAAACTCAGGTGTCAGTTGACATCCACCAAGCTCTTTGCAAGATGCACATGCTTTTGCAATATGCGTAGACAACCCAAGCTTCCAGCCATCCACACATGCATGCACCCATAGTATAATGCAAATTCTACTTAGTGCATGGTGATCCTCACCTCACAAGAGCCATGCCATTCCGAACTTCTTCTCGGGCAATGGCTTCTGCTAGCGAAACCATGCACCCCGCGGCCATCAGTGAACAATCATAAGTGGTCTGAAATAAAAAAAATGAAATCCCCTTCAGATAACAATAGTCTCAGATTATGACCATCTTGGGACACTTCTTTCCTACTATTTTCCCACATCTCAACCATGCAATTTGTTACATCAACTATATCCATTGTATCCCCTTCAGGATTCCCCTAAATTTATCTATTCCAGGTGTTGTACACTCAGTTTCAAGAGGCCATCACAGGATCCCTCTTTACTGATTCAGTCACTATAAAACCTCCTAAAGTTCAAAGTACAGAGTTTATTCAAAAACAAGCAAATAACTTCGATTGTCATCAGGAATATAAGCCAAGGGGGCAAGTCTGGCTTGTTCAGGCTTATAGGTTGAATTTTCTCCTCAAATGAGCTTACTATCTACAAAACTAACAGAATAAACATGAAACCTAAACCAAAATATCCAGTATGCAAAGATATATATAGAAAGATGAGGAAGGCCAGAAATTACATGATATAAAAGGAATGACATATACAACTGGTTCCAAAAAACTAATAAATACCAGGCATGAAGGTCTATTAGTTATTAGTCATGGTAGCAGGAGTTACTTGTAGTGTCTTCCTTGAAGATCTTTATGGATTACAAATTTCCTCTGGTATTTCATTAGAAGCCTTGATAGCATTATATTGCAAAGAGTTAACAGATGATAATTTTTGCATGACTGTAATGTAATGTACTCTACAACTGCTATTTGTTTGATGGTCAAGAGTACCGTTCATCAACTACCTTGAAAAAATTGTTGAAATGGAACCATGGAATTGTACATGGGTATTGTACCACATAAATGATGAATTTGTTGTTCCAAAGGTAAGATATTTCCAAAACTAAAAGAGATTCGGGTGTTCCACCCGACTCTACCATAATTTCTGAATTTTTCTCTGCTATTTTAAAGGGGTTCAGACATCATTCGTGCACGAGAACGCACAGGATGTTCACAGGTTTTCCCCCAAAATTGTGACATTTCCATCCAGGTACAATTTCCCAACCCTCTCACCTCATGAACATAAATGCAGTGGTAGTTGGAGCAGAACTCCTCCCGCTTCGCATCGTCCCAGGCCTTCGTCTCCCGCAGCTTGTCCACGTGCGCCTGGGAATGACAGAGGAGAAGGTCCTCTTCGTGGATCTTCGTGGTCGGGAGACGCTTGCATCGCTCCACGAGGCCCAGCTCTTTACACCTACAAGCGTACATAATAAAATTCATGTTCCGTCCAAAATGGACAAGTCCAAGCCAAAAGCCATCATTCATAAGAAATCTGAAGCAGGCCTAGCTATCAACATTTTGTACAGTGAATCTTCATTCTACGAAGGCCTGAACCAAGTTTTTCCCAATGTTCAAGGGCTACTGAAGGTGAGACCTACCATATACAGACAACATGATTATCAGTTTTCAATAATTTGCTTTTTTATTAATCTGAAAAGAGGATGCTGGTTGCAAAACTACAGATATCAGGTAAACTGCCATTAAAAATTATGCATATGCCTCACGAGGCAGAATCGGGACATTGCTAGGTCCAGACAACATCCGGTCCACACCAACTCAAACTCAAAAACCAAGCGATCCCTCTCACCTATTGATGACAGATGATAGCCTCTCTGGGCATTCGGGATAATTCTCATCCCAAGGACACCTGTGAGTCAGCATGGCCTCATCGTACACGATGCCAGTCATCAGTTCACCCATTTCCAGAATGTAGGCCTGTGCCTACTTGTAGTAGGCTGAATGTGCCTGGGTCAACCCTAAACACAAACATGCAACAAACGTTCTTAATTTAATCAATTTCCTATAACTCTAATAGTTAGGATGAAACATCTTTGAAATGATTGAACTGTTGCATTGAGCAATCCTGAGTCTAATAGAGACAGATGATGCCCACTTATCACTTGGATGGCAATTTACAGCATTATAATGAGTGAAATAGGATCTAAAACGATTACTCAATCTCATTCAATGTGGCACGTATCAGTCCATGTTTACAAAATAGGCCTATGCCTTCACAACATTGTACAGAGCACAATGCGAAGTTGATTGCGCAACACATGTAATATCGGACAAACTGGAATTTACTTCAATTTTTAACAGGCTCCTCTGGGAGCCTATGGGACTGTGCTGGTTCTCTCCCCATTGTCGCTCCCTGATGAAATGAATGCATTCCCCTCGATCATATTAGATGCTAGACTAATGTCAACCAGTCAATCATACATAGCTCCTGTTCCAAGATCGAATTTTCCCACTCGACTTCAACGAGTCTGAGGCAGGTTGAACTATTTCGAATCGCCACTTTCACTCTGAAATTAAAAATGATACGAAGACTACTACGCAGTCCATCCCAATCGCATCTAGCCAAAAAAAAACCTACAAACTAGGAGAACCACAGTAGGCCTAATACAAATTAACACTCAGCACATCTCCAATCACGAGAGACAGAGGAAAATTTCAAATGCAGTTATTGACCTCAAAACCACGGCAAATCCCTTTCACATCCTTCAGTGGAAACCGCCATGTGCACAGGAATCAGTGTTGCTTAGATACAGTGTTGCTCAAAATTCGGGTTCGAGGGTGAAGTGGCACACAACCAGTGTTGCGTAGATGCAGTGTTGCTCCAAATGTGTGTGCTTGGAGGCGAAGAGGCCATCACGTAACTTCGCGGATCAACCGCCGGACAATTAATTGTGATTCCACGATGTGTCTCGCTTGACCTTTAGGAGGTTTAGTTTGTCGTCCAGCTGGACGTGATTTACGGGGAAAGAATAATATTGTGAAATTGGGATGATGCTGGCTAATCGGGGGAGTTTCTCGAAGTTTTTTTTTTTCTGCCGTGGGCGAAAGTCGTTTTTTCAGCTCATTTCGATGCATTAAAGACAATTGCTGGAGAAATTATCTCAGTGTGAGCATGGGAAACACACAGGTCCGTGGGCACAAAATGCTGTCGTTGCGAACCGTGCAAGCGCAATTCATGCTGGCATGAATGCAACGCATGAGGCTCAAGAGCCACAACGAATGAGCGAGGCTAATAACTCTTCATGGTTCTCATTCTTTCTTCTGCCCTCTTACTACTTAAGGTTTTCCACATGGAAAAATTCTTTTTTATGTCAGCAGGATCGTAATGAATCCCTTCTGAAAGAAAATTCACTTTAGCCCTGAATGAACCCGCTCCAAGGTCAATCCACTCGCAGCATATTAAAGGAGACGAGGCGAGCTCATCATGCTCGCTCCACAGGCGCATTCATGCACGGAACGCCGCGAGCATCCCCGACCGCCTTCGACAATTCCCGCGACTCGCTATTTCCCGCCAAGGACATCCCAATTGCGTCCCATTGGACGACGCTCTTCCTCCCTCGATCCCCATCCGTCCCTTCCACTCGGCTGATGCGAGATAGCGGAGGAACGAACAGGCATTCCATTTCAGCTCCTGAAAGTGAGGCTGCTCTGTCCTCCTTTGACTACTGTATAGGCTCTCTCCGTTCCACTTCCCCCACCTTCCTTTTCCTCCCTCCCCTTCTCTGCCCCCCCCCCCTCCCCACCTCCCTTCTCCCTCCAACCTCCCTCCTCCTCCCTCCTCCTCCCTCTATCTCCCACTTGTGTCCTTGCGGGAAATGCGGCACTAGGACGTTAAGATCGATTTAAAGGGTGCTTTGTACTTTGCAATCAGTTACCGCATGTGTTAATTGGCATCTCGGGAAATGTGGATGCACACGTCGTGCATCCTCAGATTGCCTCTTATCGCCAGAGGTTAATCGGCGACGGCATCTTTATTCAACCGATGCCAGCCCTCTTTCTGAGAGACAGTCGGAATCAGACGAAAAATCAACGAAGACAGTTTCTTGCTTCGGTCCCATCGCTTCCTTGTCGGCCCCATCGCTTCCTTGTCGGCCCCATCGATTTCTTGTCGGCCCCATCGATTTCTTGTCGGCCCCATCGCTTCCTTGTCGGGCCCATCGATTTCTTGTCGGCCCCATTTGCTGTCCCATGCGCCGGTCGCGCAAATACCAGGATGGGGAATGCCGTCTGACTGAGCAGGTCCAGCGCTTCCAGGAAGCTGCCGATCGTCTGCCGATCGGGCCCACAAGCCTTCGATCGATTCTTCGGAAAAGGTGCCTTTAGCCTTTCCCTCAATCGGGCAAGCAGGATCCTTACGAAAACGGTGCAAAGAAAATCCGTCCGGGCTGTCAATTCCATGAATTTCATCGATCGTTTAATCCATTAAAAGTGTTAATCGCTGTTTTTAAAAATTAGTCGCAATTAGTCGAATTATAGTCGACACCCCCTAATCTCCCCCTGGATGTCTCTTTCTCCCCTTCTAATTTGTAATATAATAATAATGCTTCAAATGATTTATCGATCGATTAAATTCACCGAATTGACAGCCCTAAAAAAAATGCGAAAAAATAAACCTGCTGACTGTCGGAAGCCAGTCCAAATCGCTTGGTCGATATTTCACATTAAACCAGGTGTTAACATGCCATCAACCATGTTAGTAACACATCTTAATGGGTGATATATTAACGGGTGACATTTTAATGGGTGACATATTAACGGGTGACGTTTTAAAGGGTGACATTAACGGGTGACATGTTAATTAGTGCGTCAATCAGGGTTACATATGTCTCGTTCAAACCTATGGTAATTCGAGTCGACTTTCTGGA